TTTAGTTAACAGAACACAGTAAACAAGCTTAAAGTGGAATAATGAAATGAGACTGGGACTGCTAGCGGCCCTCCTTTAATTTCCACATCCTGCCTGACACATTTACCTGTCACTTTGAGTGTATCTCATGATGACAGATGCAGCTCTAGACCATATGGGAGTTGCAATTACCCTTCTCTAACTGTCCTCTACCTAACGGATGGAAATGAAGTGTACGGCTTATGAAAGGCTCTAGTTTCCCTCCTCTGATGAGGTATAAGATCACTGGGGATGAGGAGAGGTATGAGTGATAATTTATTGAGACAACACTTTACCAAGGCCGTTCCTTGTCACTTGATGTGGTTTATGAGGGTCCATATCCCCTCTCCTGATGGTGACTTGGCTCCTCTTGACCTTTTGGAGCCATTTGTTAAATTGTATATGTGATGTGACCCACATCAACACACATTAAACAAACATTTTTTTCAACAAGGATGATTGCCTTCCTACTATCCTGTTGAAAGAACTTGCAATGCTGCTAATTTCATTCCACTGTCTAGTTTTGGGCAAAACAACACTTGCTTTGGAAACACAGCTTGCTGAAAACCAGCACGAAATGGTAAAGAACAGTTTCTACTCTGGATCTATATATAAACAATATCAACACTTTAGGCTAATTCCCACCCTGTGACCTACAGACTAGACTTATTTTTTGAGAGGTGGTTTGGAAAAATAGAGATGTATGTGAAACGTAGAAAGGGAAGTTTAGTTGTCTTAACCTAATCATAACAACTATAGGGGTGGCAGGTCAGAAAATGCTCATATAAATCCAATTTTGACCTTTTATGTCTTTTGTGTTTGAAGATGTGTTTGTTTCAGTGTGTGTTTTATTCAATTTGGCCAAGAGCAGTCACCCTCTTGCTGGAAGTGTGAACATTTCTCCTTAAACTTACTTTCGAACTAATTTGCAGTAGCTAAATATATTTTAGTGATATGTATTGCTGCATGCACCATCAAGAGGTCAAAGCTTTCAATTATCCAGTGAAATACTGTAAATCAACATGTACTATATGGATTGCAAACAATTCAGTACAGACATAAATGGTTCTACTGATTCTCTCCTACCAACTTTGGTGATCCTCTGACTTTTCCGCCAGCACCACCATGAGTTTGTCCTTTGTGGTCTTGAGTGAAATTTCTCCACAACTTTTGAATGGATTGACAAAAAATTTGATACAGATCCCAATGTCCCCCACAGGATGAATTCTAGTCACTTTGTTGATTCCCTATAATTGTGTGTTTTTGGTTTCCTTATTAAACATTTTAGTTATTCAACTTGTTCAGGAAACCTTTTGTGCACCCCAGAGGTGTAAAATATACTCTTTAAGTAAAATATACTTATCTAGTTTTGTAATTTAATCAACTTAAATCATACTTTCTCCTTTCACTTTGCATCTTGATTGCATTTTATTCAAGTTTCATATGTTCCTGTCCATCAGCAGGTCTAACCCAACGATTGCAAATCTGTGTCTAGCTTCTGCAGCACATGATGAGATGCTGCTGGGGTTAAAAAGGCCTGTTGAGAGATGGAGCTGGTTTATCAGGTGCGATGTGTGTGGACCAGGAACACACAGAGCCATCATCACCTTGCTGCTGTGTAAGCCTGGCCTCTGGTGCTCTAATCATATCCTGCTGTCTGGATGAGGGCCAGTTACCAACAGGAGATTGCGAGGCAGAATTCATAATCAGCCACTTGTCGGCAGAAACCAAATCGACAAAATCACACTGTTAAAGTCCAACTGAAATGAAATATTTTTTTTTTTGTCTGCCAAAGCACACATATCTGCTCTGTACATCACTTTTATTGTGCCCCTCATTGAGAAATAAAAAAAATATCAGAAACAAAAAAAAGGAAACATTTATGTATATTATATATTTTTTGCTGGGCGGCGCGGTGGTGCAGTGGTTAGCACTCACTCACACTCACCTCACAGCAAGAGGCGACAGTGCTACCCCGTGTCCGCGTGGGTTCTCTCTGGGTGCTCCGGCTTCCTCCCACCATCCAAAGATATGCAGGCTAGGTTAATTGATGTGAGTGGTTGTTTGTCTATGTGTGGCCCTGCGATGGACTGGCGACCTGTCCAGTGTGTACCCCGCCTTTCGCCCAAAGTCAGCTGGGATTGGCTCCAGCCCCCTGTACGCAGGATAAGCAGTTGACGATGGATGGATATATTTTTTTGGTTTCATGATGGTGCCCCCTACTTTTGCATTGATTTGATGGAAAATGGTCAGGTATCCGTCTATGTAAATGGAGAACTTCTTTCCATTCAGCAAATCATATCTTGCATAAAGCAGAAATGTTGGCTGTCTATCGTCGGCAGTGCAGACAGCACACTGAGCCAGACAGCAGTTGCATAACACAAAGAGCCAACAGACTCGGAACAACAACCACATTAGCTGGCCTGCTAATGCGACCAAACAAACATTCACCTTGGAAAAGGGCACTGCTCACATCACTTTACAGGCTACATAGCTAATTAGCTGCAATAAACAGCACGTAAACGTACCTGCAAATGTCACTCTTAAAAAAAATGACTACTACTCTTCAAAATCACTGCTAACAACAGGTTGTCTGCCCAAACAGTGTGAATGAACTTAACTTGCTTAACTGTTAAGCAATCATGGAAGAGTAGTACTAAAAGTGACAAAAAAAATCCACCCACTGAAGCATAGGAAAAACCTTGTAAGTGGCCCTTGAGTTGGATTTGTTTTTGTCAGAATATGTTTTAACACTACTTTTCAGACTGCTGGCATAATACACAGAGTTGATGTTTGCTTTATTTACCTTTTTCTCACCCTAACCAAATTATTTTAATAAACTCATCTCAACCATATCTGAACTATTTTAGTTTCAAGACACAAAATGGAAAATCTAGATAAAATGTTGCCCGTGAACATTTGCAAATGCAATACATATGACCATGTAAAATAAAAGTATAGACAAATGTCATCCAAAGAAGCACCATGTTTCCCTGAAAATGTATTTTTGCTAATGCACAATATTTTCCTATAACTGTAATTTGTAAGAGTTGTGGATGGTCTTTGCTATATTTCATAATAAGTTGTTGTTGAGGAAAGTGCTTTGCAAACTGTTTAAAAATGCTAGTCAGTATATTTTTGAGATCCAGCACATTTGTCATTCAGAAGACCATTCGCCAAATGCACAAACAGCAATCACAACCTCCTCTCTGATTGTAGTCAATTTAAAAAAGATTGCCCGCACTGTTTGAATTCATTATTCCTTTGAAGGAAACCTTTGGCAGACCTCCATGCTTTAAATGCCTGCATATGTTGGCTACAAATCAGAAAAGGAATGTTTCAGCTTCAGCTGCTCTTAGATCACTTGGAGAAAAGAATCCAAGCTGCTTTTAGGCATCAGATAATGTGTAAAATAGGCTCCAGGAGACAGAGAGAAGTAAAGAGGGAGGTGATGCTTATTTTCATGCTTGCATTTATCAGATTATCAGTTATGCTCTTTACTTTAAATTTACATCTGCTTGCCTATAGCTTAATCTTATTTGTTTATTACCTGTGAGTAAAAATGCAGATGTTGAATCAGTTAGTCTTCTCAGGTTGAGATGAATGAGCAGATCAAAGATCTGCACAGCTCGTTGGCTCTGAAGTGCTTCACGGTCCCTCAACACTTTACAAAGAAGTGCCAACAGATGATGATCACAGGATACAAGTGTGCTTAAGCTGTTTAGGTTTTAATTAATATTGCTTATTATTGAAAACAAACCAACAAACCAAACAAGAATCCTGTTTTAAGTAAGCTGGTGAGATCAGAACCAGTTTGGATCACACTGTGATATTTACAGATAGAGCAGGAGGAGAATTTGTTAGGTAGAGATGTCTCTTCAGACTTACTCTGTCTGTTGCTCAGCAGCAAATAAAAAGGTTGTTTTTAAGTTGCTGCGCCACATTCTATTATTATTGACACCTTCATCTTTGTTATTATTATTTGGTTTGGTCAGAAATGGCAAGATCATTTCAACATTTATTGACGTGTACAATGTCAGTCCCCCCAAAAATTGAGAGAGGACTGATGATGCCTGTCATGCATCAACTATAGCAGAAATAACAAATACTCCACCTTCAGTTTGAACAGATTGCATGTTTTCCGTAATTTAACAGTACAGTACATTTAGGACACTGAACAGAGAGGTCCAAGAAGAAGACAAGAAAGTATCAAATCTTTCAAAAAACTTTTTGTTCTTTCTTTATTAAGTTTAATTGGCTGTGACGTCATGGTTGGATTGACGGTTTGATCTGTTGAATTGTAATGTATTGGATCATTTTCTATTAATACAAAAAGTAACAAAGGTTTTTGTAACAGTGTTTGATTTACAGTGTAACTTTCGTGAAGTTACACTGTAAATCTGTACACTGTTTTAGTTGGGGGGTTACACTGTACACTGTTTTGGTTGGGGGGTTGGAGGGTTCTGTACACATGCAAACTTGAATTCACCTGCCCATGTGCAACAATACACAATGTAACTTGTGTAATATTTTTAATTAATGTACATTAGAACATGTATTGCAATATGCCCCGTTACTACAAAGCAGAAAAATGGGTGTTCTATAAACAGCAAAAATGCTATGACACATAATATATATAGTATACAATTAGTTGCTGCTGGAAATTGGAAAGTGGGTCCACCAATAAAAATAAATTACCAAATTTCCCACCTCCTTCAATGCACTGACAATCACAGACCATTGATTTTTGCTCTGATTGACAAAGCTCTGTTTTTTTCCCCAGAGGGTTGAGTTCACTAATTTCTAAAATACTTGAGCCGCCACCCTCTGTGGAAAACACCTTTTGTTTTGGTTACCTACAATCCCATATGCTGTAAATTTCCCCCATTTTCTCTCCCCCTCTTCCTCTCTCTCTCCCCCGGTCTGGTGTGATTGGTCCGTCGTCTGTCATTGTGCACTCTGGAGGTATAAAACCACTGTTGGGGGTGGAGACACCCATAGCCTGCTGTCTAAAACCGGAGAACACAGCTCAACAAACCTCTGCTTCTCGGGATTCCACTGTTCCCTCCCTGTTGTCGTTTACAACAACAAATTTGACTTTGTGTCTTAAGCATTTAACAGCATGTGTAAAGGACTTGCAACACTTCCTGCAACATGCTTGAAAAGGTAAGTGCAATACAGTTTGAACTAGTAGTTTGGCTAAAAATGTAATTATATTGCTGCTGATAAAACTGCAGGTAAATGTAGCTTTTCAGAATCTATAACTATGTATATGCTGATTTTTATGAGCTTTATCTTTTTTTTATTTTAAATAAAACACCAGTGTATGACATTAAATATGGAAACAAGCAATCAGTAACTAACCCCTTGTTTACATATAGCAGATCTTCATATGAGAAAGTCTTTGTCCAGATGTTATTACTGGAAAACAAATTGATATCTTCTAAAATGCATTTTACTCACTGTCTTCTCATCTTCCTCTGCGCAGTGCCAAAGACATCAAGCACAAAATAAGCTTCTTACTCCAAAAGCCTGAACCCCAAGCAGCGGATCAGAAGCAGACGAAAGAGAAGACTGTCGCTGCCGCAGCGGCTGTGAAAAGGTCAGAGGAAGGTTCTTCACTTCAGTTTCTGGATGTTTTAAAATATCTGTGTTTATTCTTCACATCCCAGAACAAGCTATTCTCACGGGAGCTAAAAAAGAGATTTTAATCAGATTCACAAGGTTTATGATTAAAGCAACAAACGCTCCATTCATGTTCCTTGAGGAGGTCTTACATTTTGCATTAAAACAAATTACATTTCCATCTGGAAGCACTTCATAATGAAATATGATGACAGTTGTGTTCACCACTGCAGCTATCTACTAGGAGATAATGGTGATTGATGATAATGATGTTACAGGTGAGGACACTATCAGTGAGTGACCGGTAGACCATGGTCAGGGTGTGTTTGCTGGCATTTAAGAGAGAGAGAGAGAGAGAGAGAGAGAGAGAGAGAGAGAGAGAGAGAGAGAGAGAGAGAGAGAGAGAGAGAGAGAGAGAGAGAGAGAGAGAGAGTCGTGCCTTTTTATAAATGTAGTCTGCATGTGTCTGAAAGGTGCATTTATTGTCACTGATACATTTCCCCAAAATGATAAATAATGCATTATGATAAATGTGTTGTATTTATCAAATAGTTATGTTTAATCACTGTAGGTGGGGACTTTAATAGTTTGAGATTAGGAACTCATTACTTTTCACTAATTAAATTACTCAACAAAATCTAAAATGACTTGCAACTCGGCTTTAACTCTAAAGCTGTGACTAAGTCTTAAGACTTGACAAACTAGTCTCCCAGAAGTCTAAGAGGAAAATTTTGGCTGGTGCTGGTGTTCAAACTGTAGACCATCAGTAATGACGTACTTCTGAATGAATCATTAGAACTTTATTGAGTTGTCTGAGGTTTGTTTGAAGAGAGGTGATGGGGTGATGAGAAAAGAAATGAATAGACTGAATTGGAAAGAAAGCTTGCATTGACGCACAAAGCAAAAAAAAAAAAAAGCCATTTTATTGAATGGAAAATAGATAATTTCCTGCTTGATTTTTTTAATTTTTTGGTTCAGTGGCGCTTGCTGTGTTGTCTATTGGAGGTGTTGGTTTGTGTTGCCATGGAGAAAACTAACTAAAACCTTCACGAGTATTACTTTGACATATAATTACTCTTTCTGTTCCAGTACTTATGTCTTATTTTGGACTTATTGAGACCTTAATAATCAGTGTTCCCCTCAGAAGTGTTCTTCATAAGCTGGTTAGCATCAACAATTCTTACCCTGACACGTGCTCTTTCAGCAACATGGTACCTATTCAGAGAACATAATCAATGTTCTGTTTTCCTGCTGTCATTGTTCAGAAGCAGTATCACTCATTCCATTAACAACACAAAGACATGCTGTAGAGCCTCTGTGACATGTGTTCAAGTACTGTGTCTGAATGTAGATTTCTCTTTTCTAACCAGGTATAGCTATTCATTATTTTGATCAATGCAGATGTTCTGATGTATGTTTGGCTTGATCTAATCATGCCATTGTGCCATTTGCCATTATTGATCAATGAATTGCTGCACCTGGATGAGCTGTACTCATTTAGAACAACATCCTCCTTACAAGGCGGTCCGATTGTGATGGAAATACTTCTTGGAGACATTTCGAATAAAGTTTTTTATTTTTATTTGTTTGGGTGGGATGACAGGAACTAGCATGGTAGTTTCTCGATCTATTAATGGATGAAGTAATACTACAAAAAGTACTTTTAACCATATTTATATACACAGCAGAAATGGAATTAAATAGAATTTAATGCTAAATTCCCAATAGGAATATATGTTGCTTGGGACAAAAATGAAAATATCTCAAGATCAAACACAGAGTCTACATGAAGTGGAATTTACTGTACAGTTTACACAGAAATTATTTTATACATACTGCAGCTATTATTTTAAACTCCCCATTCATAAGATCTATGCAACCTTATTTAATAACCTCTCTTTATTTGTATTTTAGGGTACCTACTGCAGCTGAGGTGGAGAAATGGAAGGAGTCTTTCAGCCACGTGATGAGCAGTGAAAGTAAGTGTTATTTTTTCACACCTAAAAAAAGTGGAACCTGAACTAGAACAAGACTAATGAACTTGTGTTCAAATACAAAGCAAGCCCAAAGGACACTAACAATGCCGACATTCTCAGGCGGATGCTTGACTCATTGGTTCTCCATCAGAATCTCTCAGGGTTTATGACAAAAACTCCTTAAAACTAAACATGGCCACTCTCATGTGACATGATCGGACTGCAGTCATGGGAATATTAACAAACAGACTTCATATTCCTCGCTAATGGTGGCCAGTTAGGTTTTTTCAAGCTCAAAAGTGATACTTTCTTTCACTCTTTGTAAGGCACAAAGTTAGAAATTAAATGTAGTAGTACAGACATAGACGTGTTGGTTTTGATAATTAGGACACATTAAATCTGTGTTCACGATGTCAAGGAAAGTTACAGAGACCTGGTTGGGGCAAACAAACATGCACATTGAGCACACATACACACACTCTGGCGCTCTCTGACGCATTCTCATGCTCTGGTCATCTGCTACGTGTCTCAAGGCACTGCTTAATGACCCCTCAGGGCGTGCTGACCAGTGCAGTGTATGTGTGTCTGTGTGTTCATAAGCCCTCTGTGAATTACACTGTGCGTAGACACAAAAGGGGAGCAATGGCCTTGAGGGAACTAGCTGAGTTCTGACCTGCTCCATGACCCCATCCGCTGACTTCCAACATCATCATGTCTTTCTTCCTTCCTTTCCGACTTCATCTTTCAGCTCTCATTACATCAATCTTCTTTTGTTTATCTTATTGGGGCCTCAATGGTCTCCTCCATCTGTCCTCTTACTATTGTAGGATTTCGGAGCAGTTGTGATTCAGAAGTTAATCAATTTCAGTAACTAAATGACTTCAGCGATGACTTCAAGGCTCAGATCTGTGTACTGTGCACTTTCATTAACTGGTTTGGTTATTGGAAAACACTTGTCTTGTGTATCTGAAAAGACAGGATGCACTTATTGATGTTTGGATTTTTTTTCGCAAAATGGAAACTCGGTGTAATTACGCTGTGTTCGTGCTTCCTGGCTATGCTCGTTGAGTGTTTATTTTCACTTAGGAAGTTTGACGTGCATTGCATCCATTGCACACTCTTGCTCACATAATTTTCTATTGCCAGAAATTCTGAAAAGCTTTAGCCCCATTTGTGAGTGGACAACAGCTCGGCATTAAAGTAATCCAACTGAAGTCTGCCAAATCTGACCCGTGGACACAAAGCCTGAAATGAAGATTAATACAGCACTTTCTGGTGTTGCCTCGCTGTAATTTATACTAATGCCTCAAAATGAATGTGTCATTACTCCACTGTTCTCGCACCATATGAGTAATTGGGTGCCAATTCAAACCCATATGGCTTTCAAATTGGCCCAGGCTAGTTGGCAGCATTTGGCTAGCTTTTGAGCTTTGTGTCTGAAATCAGACAAGTGTAATTGTAATTCTGCTGCATCAGTCATCACAAGTCTGGCAACCAAGTATGCCAGATTTAGGTATTTCACATGGTCGTTATTTCTTATTATTTTACAGGTGCATCTGTATGTCAATATTTATTACTCTCTGTTAATGATTCTTCAATATAGCATGAATCAGCCATGCGAATGTGTGTTATCATAAACCTTTACACCTGCACTCATGGATCTGTATTTTCTTCCGCCTGTGTTAGTGGGTCGTACAGTCTTCGCCAGCTTCCTGAAGTCAGAATTCAGCGAAGAGAACATGGACTTTTGGGTCGCCTGCGAAGACTATAAGAAGACTGCACCTTCCAAGTTGCAGATCAGAGCCAAGCAGATCTACCAGCAATATGTAGAGGCAGATGCTCCCAATGAGGTAATGACTTATCGGAAAAATACGACAGCACTGGTGTTGTAAACTGTACATCAGTGAGTGAGCTTGATTAGTATGAGGAAAATGTATTCACAAAAATCCAACACCTAGCTCATCTTTAAAAAGGTTACAAAGTGGAAAATGTAGAAGGCAACGGCTCATTGTCCTTCAGTGAAGTGAATACTTGAAACTGTGATTGCAAAGCTAAAAATATGCACATGCACAACAATACTTTTACACTAATTACCAGTCAGTCACCTTCCTGATTAAAGGCTAAACTCTATGGTATTAATTATCTTGAGAAGTTGGATGCTTAGCATGGATGAAGAACATTTGGTGCACTATTTAGTCCTTTGGGTTTAAACTGAAAGGGTTTAATTTGTTCCACTTTTCACCAAAGAAAATTGTAAGGAATTTCATTATATTGCCTTATTTTTATGTTTTTGACATTGGTGCAATTTCCGTAATTGTGTTCCTGTGGCCAAACATCAAGGTGCAAGAAAAGCTGACATTCTGCTTTTCTGAGTAACTTTCCCCTTCCCATTGTCTTTTTTCATGTATGCAAAAACTTCATGCTCTTGTGCTTGTGAAATGTGTTAGCATCTTAACCCTTTCTTACCTCTCATTCTATGTAATTTAAGGTAAACTTGGATGCAGTGACCAGAGAAGAAACAAGGCAGAATGTCGAGAACGCCTGCCAGTCTTGTTTTAATGAAGCTCAGAAGATGATCTTCACCTTGATGGAGAAAGACTCCTACAGGCGCTTCCTCAACTCCAAACTGATCCAGGATCTGGGTCAGACACAGACCACCGCTGCTCAGGAGAAGAAAGAGAAGAAAAACTGTGACTTTGCCGAGAACAGGCAGGCGTTAACTGGAGGTGCCTGAATGGCAAGCAAACAGGGAAGACTAGAAGGTGACAAAGATTGAAAATGTATGTGAAGGAAGATACAAATAAAGTAAAGACTAGAAAACCAGTGAATTAGAAGGTTAATGTGATGTAGTAAAGATTTGTCTGTCTTTTTTTTTTACTTAACATTAATCCCTGAAAGTCTTTGGTAGTCATTTAAGGGTTTGAATTGGCTACTGTATATCTGTATGTGCATTAACCAGAAAAATATTTGAATATTTCACCATCAGCTGTCGGGAATTTTTTCCCTTCCCAAAGGTTGATGGTAACTGATTCATTATTTCAATATTTCAACACACTATATAAATACAGATAATGCTAAAATGTTTGCATTATGAAGCTTAGCTTTTTCTTATGCTTTCACTGCAAAACATAACCTGCTCTCCAAGTCATGGCCGGTTTCTATTCATTCTCACACCAGATAAAGTCTAACATGTAAAGCTACTTTCACCAAACAGACACACCTTCAAACAACCTTACTGCTAGTGCAGCATGTCGTCAGTGGAATAGCGTGGAAGTTTTGATCTATTTAGGTAATAATGTACACTTGTATCTTTAAAGTAATATATCAAGTTCTTTCTAAGAAGGACTAAACTTAACGAAGTGATGAGAACACAGACAACAAAATCATACGTTGAGTGATAAAAGCAAATATGACTAACCTATCAGTATTACAAACATCAGTGTTTAATTATGATAATGACCATTAACCCAGTACAGGTGATGTGGGCATATTTAATTTTTGGGTATAGATGAAATGAATCATCTTACTCATCTGCTTTGTAGTGGGGTTTGACTTTAGGTAGACCCAGTTATTTTCCATCATATTGACTTGGGAACATAAATGTTACGGATCAGCAGCTACTGCTTCACGTTTTACTCAGTACTTATATACTGTACTGTATATGTTCATACAACAACAGATGGATTATATTGATGCCTATGTTCTCATTACTGGAAATTGTCTGCGTCTAGTGGGAATTTTTAAAATGCTTTAATATTGCAGTATTGATTTTCTGTTGCGTGTAATTCAGTTAACAAACAGTCCTGGTGAAAAGGTCAAACTGTGACTCATTAGATCGTTTCTAAAGAGTTTTCCTGTAAGTCAAACTGTTTTGTTCAGATGTTTAATACCGTGATTTGTACAGGGTACTTAATAGTATGTTTAACTATAATGTTACACGTCACTTTAATTGAATGGATTTTGGTGGCCTTTCTCACCAAAATGTTTCATCAACATACTGTGATGGTCTGATCAATGGAAAACTAGATACTGTATGTAAATATTTATTAAATGATGCCATTGTCCTATTTATATCATATCTGTGGCTATTTACAAATAAAATGTGCTGATAGTCAGAACTTTGTCTTTTTTTCCTTTCCGGGTGCTCCGGCTTCCTCCCACTGTCCAAAGACATGTAGGCTAGGTTAATTGGTGTCTCCAAAATTGTCCTTAGGTGTGGATGTGAGTGTGAGTGGTTGTTTGTTTATATGTGTGGCCCTGCGATGGACTGGCGACCTGTCCAGGGTGTACCCCGCCTTTCGCACGATGTAAGTTGGGATTGGCTCCAGCCCTCCGCGACCCTGTACGCAGGATAAGCGGTTGACAATGGATGGATGGATATTACTTTGACCTGCTGGTGCCACAAAATTAAAAGTCAGAGGATCACTAAAGTCATTAATATATATCCAAGCTTCGCTTGCAGGTTGCAAGCTGGTGTGATTTAGTTAAATACAAATCCATGCAGCAGGTTTGCATACATCATTAGGGTAGGTCATTGTTCAGTGAGGTGTTTGAAGTGAACTAGCAGCCATTTCTAGTGTTCTGACTACTATATGCTGATCAAAAGTTATTTGAAGGTTGTAGAAATTTTATCTGATTTCTGATTTAGATTTTTCTGATTAATGTTGTGATGGTAATACTCATAAGGAGTTATGTTAAGTTTTTATTCTCCATTTTTTTTACTTCATGAACTCAACATCAAGCTTAGCATCTTGTCATGCTTACAAGAAAATTATTTCAAAATAAAGTTTATGCGATGTCAAGTTTTTTTCTTAGAGATTTGTAAAAAGAAAAAAAAAAAACAGTAATGAATTTGACCTAATTCAGATTTTCCCTAATAATCATCTACAATCAGCAAACCTACGGTCTCGGCAATCATGATTGCATAATTTTTCTGATTATAAATGATTACCACTTCAGAATTTAAAATTAGTATCTATTAATCACCAGAAGACAGTTTTGTACCTCTTTTGTTGAGAAGAACGACCATATCGACAACCATGACATCTGATCATAAAAACAAAAGACATGTGTAGCAAACCCGCTAGCTGACTGGTTGGTTCCCACCCAGATTGGTTTGCAGTGTTTTGAGCAACTTTTCATTTTCAGATACCTCTCAAAATTAGTGTCAGACAACCCAATATGCAAAGCTGAAAAATATTTTAATGTAGGCAAGTTATGCTGAAAACCTCAGAATTTAACACTGAGTGCAAAACAGTTATTACAGTCTCCTCTGTGTCTACGAGTGGTTCACTCTGTGGACCTATTTGTTTAGATTTACCTCCATGAAGTGAAGACTGTTTACTGCAGTTGAATTCCCACTCACTGCTTGACTCCATGTCTATTTAAGGGCAACACATTTGGGACCATGATGCACTATAATCTTGCTTAAATACAAATATTCTGCACGTCTAACTTAGAAAAACAGGGAGAGGGAAAACATGCCTAAATATTTACTGTCTAATTTTTTTAGAGTCAAAATTTATGTTATAACAGGCACTTCAAATTGGATTAATACTTCATGAGTTTTTCCATACAGGCCTAAAATGGGTTAGTCTTTGAAAACATCCTGAGTTGATGCTGCTATTCTTCCTTTGTTGCTGATTAATTTGTTCTTCCAGAAAATGATTGTGGTGACAGCCATTTTTAGCAAAGAGTCATGTGTATATAAAGGAATGAATACATACACACATACACACTCATTACTGGATGATATACTGCTGTATGTAAGTCAGCCTCAGTTTTCTTGGAGTCGGCAGCTCAAACACAGCCTTCAAGAAGTGATAAATCCACTGGGGCCGGTGTGCTTGTGTGAATTCTTATCTGTCATCTAAAATAAATGAGAGTGTAGGAGTAGGAGGACTCTGTGAAGGAGCCCGCAGCTAGAATTTGGACTGAAATATCACATTTTGGACTGGAGCTACAAATGGACAATATATTTGTACTGATAATTAGTGGCAGTAATTGGCTATAAAGAAATTCCAAAAAAATGAAAATAGGATTTTATTCTATTTGAAATAATGGAAAACTTAGTAAATCAACCCTGAGACTTTCTTTTAAATGCAGGATTGGACCCAAGTGCAAAGAGTGACGGCAGGATAACTTTAAGTGGTTTATTGAAATATGAATTCTTACAGGAAGTTGGACAGGTAACACAGAGGCAACAGACATTTTAACAAAGACAGCGCAAAACAAATACACTTTAACCGTTTCCCTACACAAATAAGCACCTGTTTAACACAGATTTGTTTTTAAGACCAATTATCTTTCTATGCTAGCAGCCTTAAGACTTTGTTATAGGCTGCTTAAATGTGTAAATATGACACACACACACACACACACACACACACACACACACACACACACACACTATAGGCTAGATATTAACGATGTGTTTCTGTTCACACTGTTTTCTCCAGAACTTGTCCACTGCAGCTGTCCTCTAGCAGCCGCTGTCTTCCAGCATGTCCTGCTTGGAGCAGACACACAGCAGAACCGAACTCTCTGATCTTACAGGAGCGCCGGGAGAGCTTGCTAGATCCCTGCAACAAGTTTTGTTAGCGTGAGCAGCAAAGAATCAAAGTCTGTCAGCTAACTTTCACAAGCAACAAGGTAAGGCAAGCAAGTTTATTTGTGTAGCACATTTCAACAATAAAGCAATTCAAAGTGCTTTATATAAGACATAAAAGCAAGTAACTTAGCACCAAGTGGCTAACTTTGAGGAAAACAGATTCCAGACATGTTCCTCCATCTTCTAAATTGGAACAAGGCACAGCAAAAGACAATCACAACCACAGTTCTTCCCCACCTGGCACATCCACAGAGGAACCCCCAGCTATTTTGGCCATGAATGTCTAAATGCTTGTGTGTCATATTTCTAGAGAAACATTCATTATTGCCGAGACAGAAAGGATGTCCTTTGTTTGGGTAATGTAAACTTAAGTTGTTTTGAATGATTTTCTGGTGAGGACAGATATGCACCATAAGGACACACTAATGTCACTTCGGTAGTTATAGATGTCGCACCTCTGAACTGGGACATATTATGATAACCAGAAATTGCAAAAGATAAATGCTGCAGGGCAATGAAACTTTTCATAGGAAAATTAACTTTTTGGAGCAGTAAAACTCGTCTGCTTCTCATCCATTTCAGACAGCACACACAGTTTGCAGCCTGTCATTTCACTGCACGTCAACTAAGTCATTACTGAACCCTTTGTTTCTGCCAGCAGGGTGCTAACATGGCACTTCAAGAAGGATTCAACTTGTTTTGAATACTAAACTCCATTATAGTTGAATGACAGTGAAAGCAAATTCTCCACTCAATTCTCCAAGTGATCACGTTTCAAGCCAACGTGTTAACCTAAAAGATTTTAAGCTCTTACACAGGCCCCTTATTTTCCATCAAATTCTTTGATGAGTCATGAAATGATTTCCATATTTTAACTCTAAACATATCTATACTTAGACTTCATACACTCCAAGTACTGCTTTATGTTGGACCAGTGCTAATGTGAGAAATGCACAGAAATTCATGATTATTGCAAACAAAGCCTCAATCACTACTTACATCAACTTTTCTTACAGATATAAAAAAAGGCTTGTCTACTCAACAAATGTTGAGTGTTGAGATGGGCCATCTTGTTCAGCCTACACATTTCTATCAGATGCACACTGATAAACACAAGTTGACGTACTTAGGATATTTTAATTTTAGAAAAGAGAAACATATCTTTAACATGTCATAGGGGTTATGTTATACAAGGCTTGTCTTTGTGTGATTTGCTTTGCTTGCTGTAATACTAGCCAGAGTCTATTCAGGCTGAAACTCTCAGGCCTGATCAGCGCTTCATTCAGCGTTAACCTACTTATTGCTGTATGTTCTCTCCTGCTTTCCTAATGGCAAGCAGCTATGATGCCTGCTAATTAAAACCACACAGGAGAACCTGGTGCTCTAATGTAATCATGCATGCAAGAAAGCACGTACACACTCTGACACATGCACGTGCAAAGTCACTTATCTCTACCACACGGACACACGCATGCACGCATACATACATCCCTGGGGCTGCATGTCTGGATCTCTGGTTTATTGTCTTGAGAAGTTTGAAAACTAAACACCACAGGGCATCTCACTGTGGCATCTGCTTTTTCTGTTGTATGTTTGTGCTGGTAACATCTGTGCAAGGTTCAAATATCAGGTTAGTGGCAGCCTAGTGACATGTTTTGACATTTGATGTGTGCAGTGATAATACATTCATTAAGAATATATGGGACACTATATTTTTAGAATAAAAGGTCCGTACCTGAGAAATCTATTTAGCTGTATTCTCTATGCTGCTCTTAAACTACTGATGCTGACTTTGTGTATTGGGCTTCTCGTGACAATGCTGTTCCTGTCAGCTATAACTATACAAATACTCTCAAATGTTACGCTAAATGATTTCTTAATGCAAGATTTCTACTTCCCTTTCCTCCTCTTCACCAAAACTGCTAGTGAAGATTGAAAATTAACAAAGCAATTGAATCAGCATGAAGAAATCTGCTCCACTGGCTAACACATGCACACATACGCTTTTAATTATATGGCAAAGAAATTTATACCACTGTTCAATGCATATGTGCAAATATTCATTGCAATTTAAAGTTTAGCTTGGGCATTTATCTTCCCTTTGGTACTTTTAAACTCGCCACATTACTTTCACACATTATTCAGGATAATGACTAGTGAGAGAGACTTTAGGGAACATAAAGTGCAGTCTTGGCAATGAATACTTATTCTTGTTTGTCCTCCCTATTTGAGATGAAAGGGCGGACTTCCCAGCTTACCAAACCTGTTGAGGCAAAACAGAAATATATGCCAAAAAACATATACCCTTTCCCTCCAATCATGGTGCCATTCCCCGCATACCCTCCTTTTGTAATTTGGTAGTTAACCTCATGTCATTGGGTTTACTCCTTCTCTGTCAGTATTCATTTGCTGGTTTAATCATATATTGACTTTGCAGGCAGATTGTTGATTGTGACAAAGACAAAAGAGGCTGAGGTAATCTATGAAACTCAAATTACATAATCTGTGCTACCTCTGCAAGAGTTATTTGTTAAAAAATGACATATTGTTTGCTAAAGAGGAAATGTCCAGCACTTTCTCTATAATGCAACTACAAACATTTTGCACACCATTTTCAAGTGCAAAACAATCACTTTAAGACAGACAGATAAGGTAACAAAGCCAGCCTCAACATATGACTGTTGAGGGAGCGTTATACGTACAGGAAGCTTGATTAGAAGAAGAGGTGCAGTTGAACAGGCAGGCAGCAGGTCAGCAGGATGATTAGCTGATAAGGAGCAGGTGTGAAAACCAACGAGACAAACTGAGGGCAGCTGGTGGGCAGGTGAGAGATGATTTGATCTGGAAAATAAAACAACTTCCCTCTTTAGTACAAAGTGTCACTCTGCAGGCAGAATCACAGCTGTGGGACTGCACTCCACAATAAAGGGTAGTAAACACATAAACAGGTCAAACTGTAGGATGCATGCTCCTCTATAAGCTAGAACAGCATTACCTAAACCTCTCCTGGAGTACCCTGCATTCAAATGAACTTGTTTGGAACTCCTGAAGCTGTTTGATAACAAGCTGATCATTTATTTCAACTCTGTTGGAGCAGGGAGAGCTCTAAAACATCCGGTAGCATACTACGTAGCAAGTTTAACATAACCAGGATATATTTTCGTTATCTGGCTATCACTAGTACAATAGGCTGCTGTAGCTGGCAGTGTAGGTTATGTGCTGTTGTGAGCATTTATACTTGTGCATTGGTGTCGTCGTGGTGCTGCCAAGCTGACCAATCAGTTCTTGCGTCTGCGTCACCACGACATGTAGTTACATTTTAGGTGAGGTCCTCGGCCACAGCGTGGATGCAATACGTAAAAGTACTGCATCTACGCTGTATAAAAGTATAAATTAGCATTCACAACCGCGATCACGCTGAGCGGGCACACAACACTGGTGATCAACTTGGTAAGTCAAGGCAAGACATACGATGAAGCTAAACACATAATCCAGGCTAAGAGCAACAAAAAAGAGCAAAAAAAAATTAGCAAGGTACCAAATGAATATTGATATCGGTATCATTTTAAGGGTACCGGTATCGTAAAATTTTAAACGATACCCAACCCTACTTTCATATCTTAAAAATACAACAAACACAAGGCTTTACCGCTTCAGTCTCTCCACATCACCTACAGCAGCCTATAAAATAATCTGTGGGATCTTCTTAGAATGGTGACAACATTTTTTGCAGGAGAAGTGACTGGTCAGTCGGAAGTGTCTTTGTTGCCTGGATCTCTTATCTTGAATATAACCTGTTCCAGAGCAGGTTAGCCATTCAGCATACGTTACAGTGGCGATGTACCCCGGTAAGAAGTGAATCACTGCTGAAGGTCTGAATTGACTGAAAACCAAGGGTTAAACCTGAAGTTACCTTACTAATGTGCTTCCCCGCTTCTTAGACAGGCTGTTTTGAGAGGTTTGAGCTAGAAACATTCATCACCATGGCTACTGAAGGATGCTTTGCTCATTTGGTCTTTAGGATGTGCTTTTTCGCTTTAAATGCACCCGGCCTCAACTTAGACTGTGATAGGTCAACATCAGTGAACACTCACTGTTGGAGGGTTTTAAGTTCACTTCCACTACACCATCTGGTTTGGGTTAATATGGCTAGCCCTCCACATGAACACAGATTGAACAGGGTGGGGATTGTCATCCTCTACCTCATCCTGTATAGTAGCTGATACGTCCGTCTGTCAATTTAACTTTTTATGCTATTTCATGTTAAAATGTACCATGCGTGTCACAGCCATATGTATGCAGTGAGTACATTCATTAAAGGATGTTAAAATGTTCAAACCTTAGTTTGTCATTTCTAAGCCAATCCAACACAACATGAACTTGCAATAGCAAATTCCTACTGGTAAATGTGATTACAAAGCAGACATTGGTTAGATAATAGTAGTTAAAGGCTTGATGAAAGAGCCTGGGTGGTACTTTCTGACACAGCAGCAGGAAACAAGATGAGATGCTGACTTGGTATTTTTGTCACCTCGTATTGCTCAACACACACATTAGGCTGACCAATAATATCTGATGAATATTTTCACAGTATGTGGGGCTGCCACCTTAGAATAACCAGGTGCACCTGGGCCCAATGCTCATCAGCAATTATAAAAGCTGCCACTTCAGTCCCCTCAGGGAGGCCTTATCCAAACTTATTTCTTTTCTCATCTCTCTTTGCTTTTCAGTTTATCGTTTGTAAACAAAACTGTTAAATATTATTTGCATCTTTCCCATTATTTGCCACAGTGTGCAGTAACTGCTGATCATGACAAAGTGTTACGCGAGTATGTACAACCTTCTTTTGCAGATTTAGGAAATAAAAGAGAACAAAAAAAAAATCCTATTGCATGTGATGCATTATAAATTGATCCAACAATAAGGCTTGCACATTTGTTGTATCAAACAGGAAATTAGACCACATAAACACATCAATGAAAGTCTAATCAAAGTCTATTTTTGTTTTATTACTTCTTTGCTCATAGGGTGGCATACGGAAACTGAAGGGAACACTTGTGGATCACACATGGTCACGCATCTGGAGACCATGATGTCCCCAGACTGGGGAAGTGATAGAGTAGACTGCTGCTCCACTGCATTTGCCAGGGGATTATTTATGAGGATATACATTGGATGTGCCTGAGAGTCCATTCAGTGGTTATGGATGTGCAGAGTTAATTGTGCATCTGATTGCACACAGCTCTTGCTACACTGTGGAAAACTCTGCTTGTCTTGTGGTTCTTTGGCTACTGGTACCCCTCCTCTGCTGTTTGTTGTATCATGAGTTTCAATTGCCTCACCTACTACATCTCCAGAAAAACAGCCTGCTGGCCCTACATTGTTAATGCAGCTGTGAAAATGGTTGTCTACTCAGCTGATTAAATGTACAGATGTATTTTGTTTTTATTTACATTGTAATTATCAATCTTCACTGACTAATAAAATCTTAATTAAGTTTGCATGTTTATTTTGGATATAGGGATTTAAAAAGAAAATCATATCCACTTACTGTACAAGCCTCGCTGACCTGTTTAGCACCATCACACATCCAGATGGTGGTGTTGCTGCCAGATGCTCTGATTGGGTCAGAGACTTTCTGCTTAAGGGATCCCCCTGAGCCTGATCTGTCTTTTTGAATTGTACAGTGGTTTCCTAATCCCAAGCTCTCCTCAGTTCTCTATATCGAGGAGGATTTTTAATGGTTTCAAATATTTGCTCATGCCAGGATGTACTTCTTGCACTGATATTTGTTCAGTGGAAAATGGATGATGTTTAAATGTGTAAAAATTGTCAGCGATGCAAGCAGGTAAGTTACATTTTAACAATATTATTGGATTTTTGTTTACCTCTTTCTAGTTCCTGAACATCATTATTCTCACACCAACACACGTGTGTTCCTCTATCCCAGTGGGGACATCTCATTAACAGAATGCATTCAGTAGCTTCTTACCCTAACCTTAACCATCACAACTACATGCCTAACCTTAATCTTACCCTAGCCCTAACTTTAACCTAATTGTAACCTGAACCCAAACACCAAGTTTTAACCCTCAAAAAGCTTCTCTACCCATGGGGACCTCAACTTCTGTTCCCATTGGTTAGTGTGCATTCAGGTTAAAGTCCCCACCAGGATATAAAAACATGAAACGCACACACCCACACACACTTTTTTCAGGGAACAAGTCAAAGTCCATTTTCATTGGCAGTCACCTAGCAACAGTGTTCATACAACTTAAAACTGGATGCCAAGCATAATGTATACTCCTCATGTCAGAAAAACACTTGAATCACTTGAGAGCAGCATGATTCTGATGTGGAAATAATTGGCAGCTTGCAGCAGTGATGTTATCTTAACTCTTAAATAAGCAGTTCTGTCAACTACTTAAACGGCTCAGACCTGAATCAAGAAACCCTGTGGGTGTAGCTTTGTCAGCGGTGAATGTCGCTGCCAGCCACAGATATCACTGGGGAAATGACTGAATGTTATTCTATTTTCTCTCACATGAAAACGTTCGTGAAAGTGTATAAAAAGCCCTGATGCCATGAGAACTCTCAATTTCTCAACCACAATGTTGTCAATGACTTGAGAAGCGTTGCTGTCTTTAATGGGGAACTAAGTGAGCAATCAGCTCCCTGTGAGATAACTGATGCTGCAGCACCCACACCCTCTGCAACAGATATTTGTACTCCCTATGGTCTTTAAAATTCTTAGATTGTAATCAGAATCAGGCTCTTAGTAATGGTATTCATTATTTATTATTTTTATCTGCTCAAATCTCTGTTTGCTCTGTTAGTATGTGATTTTAAGAATAGTAAGAGATTCTAAACAATGTACACCTTTTGGCATGAGATCATTTCAAATCTCTGACTTGTAATGTGTGCTCACACATGGCGTCAGATCAGTCTCAATATTACTGACAAGCAGTTTGTAATTGCTGGTTCAACAATGTCTATATACGTAACAATATCCATAGATATTTATTAAACTTTTATTTGAACACATTTTTTAAAATCTATTACATTTATTTAGAACTGTTCGTGTGTAAATCAGATTTATTTTAAATTATTTATGTACAACAATGATTATTTTTGTGTACTAATACTGAGTGTGATCTGACTGCATACTCATGCATGCTCACTTTTTTTAGAAACCACTACAAGAACTACTATGGAACTACTGCCTCTGTAAATGTGACTGTGTACCGTACGTGTAAAATAAGTGAGTTAAATTCTACAAAACATTTATCAGAAATGTCACCAACCTCCTTTGGGGACCCAAGGCATCTGACCTTCTCCATCTATTTCTAGGAACTGCGGTAGTAATGGATGCGTCCATGCAAGCCTCTGACAGTGTTTGTGTTGGCAGCCAGTTCCTCAGCCGCATCTGTTTCCGCTGTTTTTCACTGACGTGTTTTAGTGTACTTCTCTTCACATGCTGCTTTGTTTTATAAAACAATTCATTTACTCTAAGGAGGAATTATCAAAAAAGGGAGATTATCTGTTGACAATTTGAAGGAGTTTTCCCTTTTGTTTTCAGCCCTCTTTCCAGTGACATAGTATCACTTCATTGTCACCTGACTATATACTGATTTGGCTACTTGTATAGATGTGATGGTACATTTGAGCATAGTGTAAACCTCTTCTGTCATGTATGCTATCATGGATGTAAACAATTCCAGGATTTGAAATACTTCAACCTAACTTTGACAATCGACTTTGCAAATGTTTTATGATGACAGAAATGCCCTCGGAGCATTTGTTACAGCTCCAGGATACACAGTATTTTGGTGAGTAACACTGAATGTAAACATAACTTTTGTTTGTTTGCAAAAAACTCCACAGCTTTAACCAGAGGTGAGAGCAAGTAATTGTTTCACAAGTCACATGGAAGTCTCAAGTCTTAGTACTCAAGTCCCAAGTCGAGACTGGCAAGTCCGACAATTCATAATGTGGTCTTCACCAAATTTAATACTGTGAGTGAGAAAATTATAAATTGGCATGACGTTAGAAGACGCGGACACAGTGGATAGTTTACAAGCACGGGCCAGGTAAAGCAAAACTGAACACACCTAGTTTAGTATAAATAATATCCATCCATCCATTAACTATACTCACTTATCCTGCAAAGGGTTGCGGGGCAGTGTAAAATGTCATAGGCTTAATCTAATAATGGTGACTAGCAAGTTATAGCACTTGAAACCCTGTCATTGGCCCGAGCTGAACTTAACATCACAGCCTGTCTGAGAGTGAGTTTGGGCTTTTAGGGAGGGCTGGAGGGCACCGCTGTAAAGGAAAGGGGTGTGCTGGATTTATAAGGTAAAACTAGTGTCATTGCGAAACGGCATAAGGCACAATAATCGTTTTATCTCTATAAACTTGTCCTATGTTTTTGCACTGCACAATTTTTATATCATATTTTGTATTTGGGCTTGGAGACGGTATCAAGTAAGTGCAAATCAAAAGGTCAAGTCCAAGTGAAGTCACGAGTCAACTGACCCTTCGCTAAGCCAC